GTTTAGTTGCCGAGTTTGTCGTAAAGGATATAATGTAAAATAACGTTGTCACATCACTTGCAATTAGAATCAGAGAAAATATATGTGGTACATTACATTTTTCTTATTATTTCCTTGAACAACTTATTAATTTATTTTATTATTATTGTATAAGTTAGAGAAAAAAATCTATTTTAATTTAACATCAACAGAAATTAGTTTGATCCAGTACTTTTTGAAATATTAACCAATTTATGTTTTTATTTTACCCTGTAAAGTTGTCATTTTTATTTTACCACGTTATTCTGTGGGGGCAGCGATATGTAACATAGCATTCTGTCTAGTGTTGCCATACAAAAACATTTATGTAACATAACTTATAAAATAGTGCTGTTGGACTAAGTCGCGTTTACTGGTGCGGCTTAGTCGCCACAAATGTACGGTTAGAAATAGATTAGTGTGTCGAAGAAGAGACAGCAGATTTTAAGGCCTCTTTTACCTCCATTTACGTTACGTTAAAGACTGGATTGCATCATAAGAGCAATTAAAGTTATGGTTTATGTTAAATTTAGCAATAATTGTCACGATGACTTTAACATTGAACGTGGTATGCGTTGCACTACCCTCTTCCTTTATGCATAGTAAAACAAGAATTTTAACCAGTGAAACTTGCGCGATTATAGTTGACAGCTAAAGTTATTACCAAAATGCCAAAACAATGCAACTCATTTACTTAACCAGTACTATAACATGTTTGTTAAAGTAAGTTGGTGCAAGCAACCCTTAGTATTGCTTGACAAAACTACCCATAATTTAATAATAACAAATAAGGAATAAATATATAATAATTTACAATTTATAACCAATGAATAACAAATTTAAGATACTAATTTGTACAGCAAACTAATAAGTATCTTTCCACGCAATATGACTTTATATTGTAGAATGGGGACAACACGGATATTTGTTCAAGTGTTATTAGTAATGCTACCTGTGTGTTGGTTCAGTAAATGAATTACACTCCATAAAAATGTAAGAACTTATACACACACAATATTGAAAAGAAAATTTATTGAATATTCATGTAGGTGTTTAATTATTTTCATTTTTATGTTACGCGTATTTAACGTTATCGAACAACCCTTTCAATGCGATTCCCGAAACGAATTGAGAGAAGTTGAATCATTTAAATTTTATAAGCACGAAAGATGGAGGGACGTATAATTCAGCAGCAATTCAGCAGTCGGCACGGACATAGGAATTACAAGAGGCTCTCTACTATTTTAATTTTGCCTAGATGTTTCACATTGTTCGCTCGCGTTAATTGGTACTTAGGTAAAGTTCACGTATGATGCAGTTTGCCGTGGATGAAACAATTTTAAAAATTGGTCCAGTATTTTTGGTGTCTATTCAATGTTAACAAACAAGGAATCGAATCTTTTCTCTTTTTAATATTATTATAGATTTCAATTTTATGACTACAAAGAAATCTACCTAGTGTTTTAGTGTATTATGGAAATTTCTTTGAAAAAAGGTTTAAAACTTTAATAATTAACACCATTTTAACACTTATGATCTGTTTTTAACTTTAACAAATAAAGAGAAAAAAAGCAGCCCTTGCTGTGTTTCTTGTCAGTTCTTCTCAGTATAAGGTCTCCCGCCATAGATTTGCTAACCAATGGCGTATTTTTCAACATTCAAAAGTGCTTATAACAGCCTATACTGAATAAATGATATTGAATTTGAATTAATTGACTTATCTCAGAAACAGAAATAAACAACCAAACAGAACAGCTACGTTCCAGCTTAGAAATGCAATAATTTTCTGTTGGAATTTAGAAGATTCGACTGTTGTTCTGTGTGTACTAACTCTTATATCGTTTTAAAAAATACACTACGTTCGTTGTAGTTGATTTTAATGTCGCTCTGTGCCATTGTATGCGTCCGATAAACTTTGTTCATAGCTAAATGAGCTATACTGTGACTGAGGTCAATAGCCTTACTGAAACAGCGCGTTTAGATTAGCGTTTTGCGTTTGCGTATACTCAATCACAAGTTTAATAATTTCAGATAAATGCCGTAGCAAAACAATTCGCACGGAAGTAGTTATTCGTCTGTAGATATCTGTAAACGAATGGAAAATCTTAATAAAATGGAATGTTTTTAGTATCATGCTATAAACTGATCTAGCTAATATAATGATAAGTATCTATTGTAGTTATATAAAGATTACTAACGTGTTATTATGTTATTTCATAATGTGTGAGAATATAAAATAATGTTTTGCTCAAGGAAGTAAATGCGTTTATCCTATTTGTTTAATTGTTTATTATTATTACTGAAGTCAGTAGGTACTATATTAAGTAGCTAATGTTTTGTAAATGGATGGAAAATCAGAATGAAAAGATTATTACCAAAAATAAAGATTATAATAATTGTATAGAGAGAAAAACTATAAGAAATTACACGGTATATATTTCAAGCAAAAAGTAACAAAAGCAAGAAGTTGAGAGAAAGCGTCTAACATTAATCAATAGAAGAGGTGTTGTTTTTCTTCATGATAACGCTAGACCTCACACATCTTTTGCCACTCAGCAAAAATTAAGAGTATTTGTCTGGCCTTACATCTTCAGATTTCCACCTATTTCGGCAATTTCTGATTTTTACCTGTATTTACTGTTGCCTTAAATGGCCTTTATAGTGTAACCGTCCCTTACGGCGAAATCCTTAGGATCTCAAGCCGAGATGACGACCGTCCTCGAGGCTTTCTACTAGGAGGGCATTACCCCACAGGGAGGTGTCTCCACTCCGTTGTAATGTCGCCCTGGACTCTAGTGTGGGGCGATGGGGTCAGGATGATTAGAGGGCGCCTATAAAGGCTCGGACCTCGGCTCTAATTATCCCGTGTCGTGGAGGGCGGAGAGAAGCGCCCAGGTACATATCTGTACCTGGTGAAATACCCTGGGTCGCAATATGCGTATTGCATATCTCAGCATCTAAAAAAGGGATCGCAAAGTACTCTGTAATGAAAAGCGGAAAGAAGATTAAAATGTATAAGAAGACATATTTTTATCGGCATTTATTTACTGATAAAAATAACGGAACAATGGTTAGGTAAATGTTTTTTTTTTTTGTGTGACATGACTATTTCGTACCTAAATTGTAAGTTGTTTACTAAAATTAACCACACACGTCACAATGGAAAGTAGTTTTTTATCATAAAATATCTTTTATTTTCTTGTGTATAATAATTCAGTTCGACGTCCGATAAACAGCATACCTAATTAAATATAGCATGTTATTACTGTTTAGAATACTATATATCTGGCGTCATATCTTTATTGTATAAAATAGTACGAAATATTCTTTTTAAATTGATATTCAACAAAATACGAACTGTATTCTGCAGTGTGAAAAATTTTCAGAAATACTTATCAAACTGATACAGCTACAAACGATTTCGCGATCTAATAGCGAATGCGACTGCGTAATTTTTTATGTCTTAAAAATATAACTTACGAGACATAAATATCTTTATGTCTAGTAAATTACATCTTATGTCACATGCATATGATGACGCTTCTAGTAGATAAAAAAAAATGAAATCGGTCTAGTAATTACGGAGACTATTCAATGCAAATAAACAAACAAACAACCAAATCTTCTCTTTATAATATTAATATATAATGATTTCGAAATTATTATCTAAACACGTTTGGGCATTTTATGCAACTACCGAGTTAACGACTGTGCGTGTGTCCGATAGCTAGGTCACTTACCCTCTTATCGGCTTCAATGAGTACATAAAGTACTTATGTTAGCTATACATTTACTAGCGAAGCGATACCAAGCTTTCACAGATCCAAATACTTGTTTCGTTTTAATTTTCATAGCAAATTCACAGGAATACTGTTGCTATTATTTTCATTAAGGCATTTACTTTTATTCACACGTAGATCATCTTCAAATTTCAAGAGAATAACACTAGGATATTCCTAGTTAGTCTGACATCGGTAAACATTCCATTTCTACAACCAACTGATTACACTATGCAACATACTTATGTATAATATAACACTTATGCGTTTGTTTGATCAAGTGTTAATCTATCAACAGTGAATTCGTTGTGCGGCAGTGCATACAATCAATGGTTTGTTTGTCACTAACTCTAACAACCCTACCGGATGAGTACGTACAGCTCGCGTCGTTTTTAAAGTTTATCAGATTGTCGCGAAAAAAAAAATGAACTAAGATTAATAAAAAATATGATAACTTGTTTTTCTTCAAAAACGCCTTTTTTAACAGGGCGGCAAAACTGCCTGACAGAAAAAGGATAAAGGTTACAGTACGCTGCTTATTCAACTTATAGGAGGCGCAAAGCTTTATTTTTTCAAAAGTCATCTAAAAAGCACAATCTTTTTCACACTAATATAATTATAATTATAACCCATGATTATAATTTCAATAGGTACTTAAAGGTAATGTGAATTTTATTTTTTTTTTAAGTTAAGAGGGCTATTTACAAATAAACTACACGGCGAAACATATTGAGCTCGGACGGCCGGTATATCGTATTTTGTAGATAAACATGTGGATCATAAAATCGTCTTATTATTATGAAATCTTTTTTCTTATGAAATAATTACTTATAATAGTATGTATATGTAATGAAGTAATAAGCATTATTGTGGTTTGTAAAAATTTTGTTCAATAAAATTATCGTAGATAGGAGATATTCATGATTAACAAAAAGCTATTTTTTTTGTTGTTGTTTAGGTTAAGATTCCTCTTGTCTGCTTTACCGAATAGGTGTTATTAAATTTAAATGAACTCTCAAAAAAGTTAAGAGAAACATTGTGAGAAATGGAACTTTAATGTCATTTTGACAATTGACATTGATATGAAATGTCAAAATTGAACTCATCGCTGAAGCGCTGTAAAATCGAATGTTTATAAAGTTGTTTGTGACGACAATGTAGGTATTAAATCAAATCAAGGTCGAAATCATACGTATTTTAATCAGTTGGCTTGGCCCCCAACCCGCCTCCGGCCGCGTAGTAATACGCTATCTTTTTCTTCTACATTAAAAAATCATAAATCACCAGCATGGCTTGCTCCATGTTAAAGTTTCTGAAATCTGAGGTGAGTGTATACTTTTAACTAATGTTTTTTTATTTAATTTAATATATAATTTATAGTTATTTTATTTTATATGCTTACGAAACTACGCCGGTTTATTACGTAGTTAGCCAGTTATAAATATTTAATAGAATCCTGCCTACCACCTTACCTAAAGTGGATATTCAATTATAAAAATACATTTGAAGTGGACTCACAACATTTAAACCAGTTTCTACTTTATGAAATTACATTTAACCTAAGTTATGAATCAAGTTTTACACCTACATAATCTTTTATCCTTATTCACAGTCACATTTACTTAGAAGAAGTTATAGCAGTGCAGCACCAACCACAAAACTCTACATAGATGGGCAATATGTTGACTCCAAGACAAACAACTGGATTGAGCTTACAAACCCGGCAACCAATGAAGTAATTGGAAGGTAATGAGAACCCTAATCAACACCGGTATTCTATAAAAAATAGTAAATTGATTAAACCAAGATCATTAACAAAGACATCAACATCAAAGGTTCAATTAAATAAAACCTTTTTTACCTTTGAAATAAGGTTTTATGTAGTTTTCCCATTGAGGTACTCCAGTCTCAATGACTAACAAATATAGGTTTAATAGTACCTATATTCAAGTGTATTATTAAATATTTATTTCTATTTATAGCATAAGTAAAGTTTGTAGTATATGGGCTATCAAGGGGTAAAGGTGATTTAATACAGCATCTGCACATGAGCTCTTCTCAGCTCTCCGCAGTATTGTTATTTGAAGTGGTTTACTCAAAAAAGATCTTCAGTTTCTTGAAATGTGTGTCATTCTAAATGACCTTTATTTCAAAATCATACAAAAATGGAAGGAAAAATACAGCATATAAAAACTGAATTTGCAGAAGATTAATTTGATTGTCTATTATAAAATGACCTACCATATTTTCAAGGCATAGAGTGAGTTTTGTCGAACTATAATATATTGAGCATTTTACAGAATTGCTTATTCAAAACTTAGTTTACCTCTGTTATAAGTAAAGAGACTACTTCTACTCAGTGGTATGTAAGAATTAACATAAATCATAATTTTAAATTCATGTTAATTCATGTGCTTTGAACAGGGTTTAATTGAACTTTGTTGTACTTTCAAACACTAGTAAAAAGATGTGATTTTTCTCTATAAAATAAAAAAGAACTGATTTACTTAATTTGATTTACTTCACTAGAATTTCAAAAATATAAGTCCCATCAACAACCAAACGAGTGCATTTTTTAAGAATTTTTATTAAGAATACAAGTAATTAAAAGTTTTTGTTGCAAAATTTGCATAAATTTTGATAAAAAAAATATCTTCAAGTTTTAAGGGTATGCAATTTAAGTAATGTACAGTGTATAATTAAAATTAAACTATACTCTCCTTAGAACTACATATATTTAACATAGTAACACAAGAAATCTTATCAGTATAATGAAATCACATGTTGTACCCCTACTAAGCTTCATTATGTATGACTTTGCTGTTCATATCTTGTTTTGGTTTATTTTATCTCATATATTTGCAGAATGAGATATGACTATTAATATGATACATTCATTGTTACATAAAATATGATTGGAAAACATGTTGTGATTTTGTCATTTTTGTCACATTGTAGATTTATTTACAGAATTTAATAAGGAGACTAATGTAATGACTGATTTTTGGATCTTTATTTAAATATGTTATGTTTATAGAGGAAATATTTAATTCCCCTATAAAAACATACCTTTTTTATAAATAAATGGTACACAATGTGATATAATTTTCTTATTTCTTTGTGAAGTAGAAATCCAAAATAATGATGTTACAAAAACTACTAAATAGAAAATTGAAACTTACAAAATGTTGAACATCAAATATCAAAACTAAATAGGCATGATTAAAATCTGTGTCTGTTGAAATATTTGAAAAGATAAATCTTATGTTAGGTCACCAAGGTATCCAGTGATGCCCTTAATATAGAATGGAATTGATTTATTTGTGAATTATAGGTAGATATAGTCATATATGTTGTTATAAATTATAATTGGATTTAGACAACTACCATTTCTAACAACATCAAGTATAGATAGGTAAACACTTCATATATATTTAATACTAAATTAATGCTTATTATTATTAAATATATTTGCAGAGTGCCAGAGGCCACTCAAGAAGAGTTGAATTCAGCTCTTGAAGCGGCTAAAAGGGCGTACAAATCATGGAGCCAAAGTACCATTATGACTCGCCAACAACTTATGTTTAAGTGAGTATTATTAAAAACACTTATTTTCTATAACTGGCTTGGTGCAATAAGTCTTTAATAATAAGATTGGGAATCATCACCAGCCTATTAATGTGCTGGGGCTCAGGCCTTTTCCCTACGGATGGAATCTAGTTAAATTGAATAATGGAAATGGGCCTCGATTGCAGCCGGGATCAACGGATTAACATGCCTTCTGAAACACGGAAGAGTTCAAGATAGTAAATCTTTGGTCACCCATCCTATGCGAAAGTTGCTTAAAAGCCGTATCTCAAAGCGTGTACACTAACCACTGCGCCGTCGAGCTCCTTTAAGATTATATTTTAATTATCTACTACAGATTTGCACGGTTATTGAGAGAAAATCAGTCTAAATTGGCGGCAAAAATTACAGAGGAACAAGGAAAAACTATAGCCGATGCCGAAGGTGATGTGCTGAGAGGAATACGTAAGTATACAGTAGCAGTAGCACATTGAGTACCTTAAAAAGCCTTAATTTCTGAATTCAATTTTGAGTTTAATTACCAACTGCTTGAGGTTTAAAATATGTTGACGAAATTGGGTCTTTGGTAACAGTATATACAATATATCTTTTGTCGGCGGTATCAAAGTTATAAGTCAAAATCATCAATTTTTCAAGAGAGCAAAAAGAAAGTTTCGAAAATTTCCACAGAAAGACTGGAAATGAATAGAATTTCAAAATTGTTAATATCTCTATTAATATACGTAGTAGACTTGTGCCAATTGTACCATTCGAAAGCTAATTTTTTTCTACATGTTTCTATTGGCATAAGTCATTTTGACCAAAAATTGACATAACACCTTTATACCGCCGACCAGAGATATATTATTTTAAGTCACATGATAGAAAAACCCTACAAGTAATTATAAATGGATGAGTTGATAATGTAATCGTCATTAATAACTCCTTAATTTATTACTTCTTGTTTCATATGCTTTAATAATTATGTAAGTGATGGTATAATTATCACACCCCAATGAGTTTCATAACAAGCTCAATCTATATAAGCGGATACTGTGGACTGATAATGCTATTGTTTTTGATAATTAATTGATATATGATGATTTATGCATGACACAGTTTTGCTTATTCTAAAAGTTATCTATTTGATAAAAAGTATTTTATTTAAGATATAGATTCCATTTTTAACTGTTTAAACATGTATTTATTTAAATGAAAAATGTGGACGTGATGACGGTAATGAAAATAATGCCAAAAGAAAAGAGAAATGTCAATTTATACGTCATTTTGATGTAGAGTAACTGAAAAATTACAGTTTTGTATTTCCAACTAGCTTTCCGCCAGCGGTTTCGTCCGCGTGGTCTTGTATTATACATAAAAACCTTCCTTTTGAATCACCCTATCTATGAAAAGAAACCGCATCATAATCCGTTGCGTAGTTTTAAAGATTTTGGCATACATAGAGAAATAGGGCCAGAGAAAGCAACTTTGTTTTATACTATATAGTGAAGATTGTTATTGGTGAAATTTCACATTTTATTATTCATTGCTCTACTGAAAAATGTTCTACGACATAATCTCAAAGTTCTATAATAATAACTGTAACATATCAGTGGAACACTGTTTAAATTAAATTATATGTGATATCGATAATATATTTATGAAACAGCAGTTGGTAACATGATTTAATTTTTTTTATTTCAGAATCCGTGGAACATTGTTGCAGTATTACGTCATTGCAGTTGGGTGATTCTATTCAAAACATTGCTAAAGACATGGACACACATAGCTACAAAGTTCCATTGGGAGTGGTTGGAGGTGAGAATATTGTTATTATTTATTGATGAAATTATTTAATCAATGTGAAATAAGTTTATCTAGTAACATTGGATATAAAACATATCTAGAAACATGGTATACACACATTTTTACTAATGATATTCCTTCTATACCTGGAGGTTGATCATCTATATTTGACATAATAAATATTAAAATGGTAATAAATGTAGTGCTTTGGGGTAAATGAATGCAAAGAAATTTCGAAAATCATATTAAACAAACCTGAAAAGAAAACAACAATATGTCTGTTTTATTTAATTTGAAGTATTTTCAACTTTGTCAGCAGTTGATAAAAAACAATTTCTGATTTGGTGGTATACTTTGAAATTTTCCTGCTTTCAATATTACCCCAAAACACCATGTACAAAATTATTAAATTATATTAATTTTATAAAGGAAATGTTAAATATTTGTTTTTTCTTTGTAAACTGTAGGAAAGTAATTGTGCTCTTATTGGCTACTGGACTGCTTTAGGAAAAGTATTTTAAAACTTACATATGATATTAAACCATTACCAGATTTATTTTTGCTCAAAAAATGTTATTAAATAAAGGAAAAACATACTTTTATTCATTAAATTAAATTGTTCCGTGAAAACATTCACGGGATCACGTGACATTACGAATCGTGACATCACAATTCAATAAACACGAGTACTCGTTGCACTCGCACCAAGGACGTTGACGTTTAGTTTATTGAAATGTAATATCATATGATACTCCGTCATGGCCGCCCTTGATTCGGTTCTTTTAATCGACAGATTACAAACCGCGAGTTAATTTTGTAATAATAAAAAAAACTTACAATTTATTTTAAAACAAATATGCTACATAGCTTTATTACTATAACTGTCCTTCATACAAAAATATTCAACCGATCGAAAGCTTCCTTTTTCGAAGTCCATTGAAATAGTATTATCGATATGTGATCAGGCGTGGCAGCTTTCAACTTCCCCGTGATGATACCGCTGTGGATGTTCCCGCCCGCGTTGGTGACCGGCAACACGTGCGTGGTGAAGCCCTCCGAGCAGGATCCCGGCGCCACGCTCCTCATGATGGAGCTGCTGCAGGAGGCCGGCGCTCCGCCAGGAGTCGTCAACGTTAGTACTATTTAGTTACAATTTTTTTACCCGTCTGCAAAGAAAGAGTTATCTTGTATGTATGTATGTAATATTCCGTATTATCTCATATATTCAGAACCGCTGAACGGATTTAGATAATTGACATATTAGATTTTCCGTAGTAACCCAATGCCACTAACCTAGAATAAGGCATAGCTTAACTAGAAATTACTTAATATTAAAATTAGCATAAGCAGATTTGTCGTTTCACCAAATCTGTAACGTTAGGTAATGCCTTACTAAGCACTTCCATAGATAGGCATTGATTGTCTATGATTTTTAATACTTTAGTTCTTCTTGTTTACTATTTGCGTTTTCACAATTCCGCCAATGTCACGTTAGTGGCCTTTACACGTAAAGAGACAACAACTAAAATATATATTTTGAAGTGATAAAACATAAGAAATTATACGTGGTCCTGTATTTACACGAGCACCCAAGTCATCATTGTCCTTATATAAAAAGTCCTAAACTTTAAAAAATCTATCGTTCGTCTAAGTAATCGTATTTCGAATATAAAAACTACTTGGTTTCAATTTACTAAATTGATTTTATCCCTTGACATGTCCATTATAGCCAAAGAGTAAAAGTATCTGTCCATTACGCAAATAACTAGCGCTAGGCGGCGCACAATATTAAGTGTTGCTTAACGTCGTTAGGTTGACTCCTTTTCATTGGTGAAACGCACTTTCATCTTGGACAATGGTCAAATATTTAGGTCTCAGATTTTTACGAATGCCAATAATTAAAACTATAAATGCTAGAGAGAAAACGGGCACAAATGTCATTAGATAGTTACGTAAAAATATCAAATATTGCATAAATATTGACGCTATTATATTTAATGATAAAACTATTTTTTTTTTTCAAATACCGCAATATGGATATCAAATTAAAGGGCTCAATACAAGGATTCCAAAAAGTCATATCATTATAAAAACAATACAATGATAAAGTTTTAAAATATGGACTTTGTTCTTTCACTTTCTTGTACCAACCCGGTAATTCTCTTAAAAACAAGTAACCAAAAATGAAACAAATTAAGTAATTATGCAACATCGTATGATGTTGCATTATATAACATGCAATCGGAGGCATGAAATTGAATAATAATTAGTCAAATCATACTCTGTATGCATGACCCCGACCGCATGTTATGTATGATGTTGTATAATTTTTTTAACTTGTTCCAGCCTCTTCAGTTAGTTATTTTTCACGCAGGCGATTTTTTTTATAAAAGCCTTGACCATGGGAGGGATCCGGGATCCTGCCGTCACTCACCGGAATACATTTTTTATTAGCGCCCCCATTTAACTTCAAATTAAATCAATTACTATCTTAGTGGAGATGAAACATTCATTTTAATTCAAACTTACTATAACTCGCAAAAGTTAACTTGAGAACCATTAGGTACTACACAAGTCTCGAGTTAACTCTTCTTAAGTCTACACGGCGCCCCCATTTTACTGGGTCTCTTATCTCACCCATTTAGGCCAGTAGCACCCTCAAGCGGGCACTTTGGGAAAGTCTGTCTAATCCGTGCAGCGAGCGAGACAGCGCTATATGGAACAATAACAATGTCTCGCTCGCTGCATAAATTAAGCATTACTTTAAGAGCTTATGGTTAGAGTTACACGTAGCACGTAAGTAAACTCAATATTGTATATTCTATACTCAGGTATATTCGGGTTAAAAAATAAAAAGAAAAACAAATTCTTTAATGAATATTATTTGTAAACCAAATTAAAAAAAAATCTGCATTAAAACAACTACCTATTTTGAATCATTCACCGATTAACAACAATTATATAAATTACAAATCACTACAGCGATAATAATAGTAATAGGAGTGTTCGTTATAGTAAATAGCAAACATTACATATGTGTGTTTATTATTGTTGATGTTGGCAAAAAAATTCAATATAGTAATCAATCACTTATTAATGAAAAAAGTGCATTTGCAAATGGCGGTAAGTGAATTTGTACGATAACGTCAAATGCGGGATGACACTAGGCCCTGTTGCTATGGTTGTTCCCTCCCCCCCCCCCCCCGCACACATCACCTCCTTCGGTACCTATTTTCGTTTAGTGCTCGGAGTTTACTTTCGTGTCACTTTCATATCAGGGGACATCATGGTACGTTATATTTCAATAAACTAAACATGTCTTTGTTGCGAGTGTAACCAGTGTTCATGTTTATTGAAATGTGACGTCACTGCTCGAAATGTCATCAGCTTACGACTAGCCCGACAGATGTAGCCAGGGAGATGGTATACCATGGCGGATCGTGTTTCAAGTCATAGACACAAATGTCAACTTCTAATTTTAAGACAGTCATGCGACTTTATAACTCAAAATCAGAATATTTATGTTTATTTTAATGTAAATTTAAGTTTTTGTGCAATTCCGTATTATTTGTCACTATTGAGACTACCCTACTGTGATTCATATGGTTTGGAAAATTCAAGATTACAAATGATGTCTAGAAAAAATATCTATTTCGTCCGTCACTTGGTAAATAGAAAAATATTAGATACGTATTTTTTTGCTTCAATTGAACAAATTGCTTAGATTGGGGATTTATTGCGTCGCAACTATAATATCTACTTACGTATGATTTCATGTGATATTTCAACTCGTTTTATTGCCATAATTGATTACGTAAATATTTAAAAATAAGTGTTTAATATTTCTCAACTATTTACCTAATCCATATAAACATTTTTTTTTTAGTTAAGATCCCTATTAATTTATTCTACTTTCATTCTCCGCAGGTAATCCACGGTACTCACGACGCAGTAAACTTCATATGCGATCATCCTGACATCAAGGCTGTCTCGTTTGTGGGGGGCGATGCCGCTGGAAAACACATTTACACAAGAGCTTCTGCTGCAGGTATTATTTATGATATTGATCTACTTAAATTATTTTTATAAACATAATTACATACTTTAAAAAATTCAACAAGCTCAAGTTGAAATATTGATTTCAAAATTGTTATTGTTTGAGTTGGAAGCCTTTTTGGTGCACTATTCTAATGGTTCTTTAAGAATAACTTGTTTGAATCTTAAAACAGAGAAAAAAATAAGATAATAATAATAACAACTAACTATACTCGTCCACTCGTCCAAAATGGGGGGAATAGATATATTTTTCATGTGGATCACGGGATGAGTTGTTTGTTTCTAACACCTTTCATTGTGTGACAGGAGAAATAATATTTTATGTTTGAGTAATAATAATGTAATAAATCTGTCTCTTGCATCCGAGACAGCTTTATTATTGCATAATTTATGACTAACTGTTAGCTCCTTGATATTTTTAAGTATGTTCTGTGTTTAGTATAACTAGTTCAGAATGAACAATTCCCAAATTGTCCAATCTAGTATCATAATGGGTTTGTTGAATACACAAATAGATAATACATGTAGCTAGGTTATTAAATTCAAATTAATTCAATTATTTGCCCTTCTAATAAAAATACTATTAATATAATTATTAAAAAAATATTTAATATTAAATATTCAATACATTGAATCATATTTAAATTATTTTACAATACTATTTTACTAAAAATCTATAATTTTTTAATATTTAAGATTATTAAGATAAGCTATGGAAACTTTTTCAAATACATGTTATTCATCATAACTGGACATTTCGGGAATTGGAAATTTAGAAAACTTTGGACGTTTTGGGAATTGAACTAGTGATGCGACTCGAGTCACTCAATCGATATTTCAAACTCGTAACCAAATGAAAAAAAAAAAATCACTCGAGTCTCTTATTAAGCATTCGAGTTATCGAGTCAACTCGGCGCATCGAGTTGATTCTCTCGCCAGTACATGTCATTTCGCTAATCTTATTTATTAATCTATGCCGCTTAATTTTTTATTTTCTTGATTACTTAAATAACTCATGTGTTAAAATTCTTTTGATGTGTATTTCACTTATGTTATGTATGTATTTGTTTAAAATAACTAAGAGAAATCTCACTTCAGTAGCACATTTGGGGTATGTTCCGATATACACTGCGACCACTGAACAGTATGACGTCAATTTAGTATACTGGAAGGCCGTTCCTTTATAGCTAGTTATACTGGTGACTTTTTAAAACGGAACGCAGTCCAGTATACTGTTAATCCTAATTTTTGGCGCCATTTTCAAATTTGTTAATGCAAGGTGAATATAAATAAAGATTCCCTCTTTTCAAAAGAAAATATTATAGAATTGAGTATAAAAAAATATTTATCAATTAAATCCATCTTATAATAAACGTAAGTATTTTTTTTGTTTATTTAGAAACTTATCATTTTCTGATTCTGTTTCGACTGATCACGTGATCAAAAGCACTGCGAGCACCTTACCTCGAAATCTCCAGTGCTCACAGTACAAATATGGCGGCAATTTATGACGTCATAAATTTCCATAGGGTACGGTAGTAGTGTACTGGCAGTCCATCACGGAACGGATTTTTCAGCAGTAAGACCACTGCGCTGTGCTCGCAGTGTATATCGGAACATACCCTTGTACTTTTTTTACTCAAGTCGAAACTCAAGTATGACTTGAGTGGGGAAGTTCATTTTTTTTTAAATTTTCAAAGCACTGTGCTTTTAAAATTAGCCTAATAAAAATATTTTTTTATACATATAAGTTAAAATAGTTTAGATTTTCAGTACACATAACATTATCCTTAATTTTCACTTATAGTGAAAATCTCTATTGATTTATCGTTAAAACGTGTTAAGGTAAACGGGTCCAAAGTAACATGGGCGCTAAGAACCACGGTGTTATAATGCCGGACGCCAACAAGGAGCACACGTTGAATCAATTGGCGGGGGCGGCGTTCGGTGCCGCGGGACAACGTTGTATGGCACTCAGTACTGCAGTATTTGTCGGTGAGTTTCATTTCAGTAAACTTTTGTTTTATTAGATCGATAGCGTAGTGGATAAACGCCATGGCCCTCGATCGTCGTTGTTAAGCAACCTTCGCAATGGTCGGTCACGGGATGGGTGACCAAAAAATTATTATCTCGACTAAATTTTAAAATTTGAATGTAAAAATACATAAACTTCTTGGTTCCGCCTAACAATGAATGTGCAAGTTTAGGATTTAGCGATAATTTAAGATAAACCATAGACTTAAACAACATTACGTGAACAGTAAGTTGCGTATTATTATGATAAATCACTATTAACACTATTTTTTCAGTCTTTTATATTAATTATTTAAGTTGATAAAATTTAATATTTTAATACTTATTATTCTATTCCCGAAGAAGAAAAAACCAGTAACACAGATATCATTAAAAACGGTCCAGCCTTTCTCGAGTTATAAATCGTGTAACTAACTCGACTTTCTTTTATATATGTAGATGTTATGTTTTTTAGTAGCTCGTTGGCGTAGTGAATTAACGCTGCGGCCCCCGTTCGTTATTATAGTTATTTCGAACTACGCCGTGCTTAGAAATGCAAGTTAAGCCGTTGGTCCTGGTTGCATTTGCAGTCGTTTATAACTTCCAATCTGCGTTGGCCACCTCGGAGGGTGATGGCCCATCCACTTTAACCATCCATGAGCTAATGCCGGACCCCCGCAGTGGGCATGTTAAAGAACTGACAGACAGACAGGTCAAACTATTATTTTTGCGTCGGGAGTTGTTAATAACTAGTTGTTTTCCCCACGTAAATTATAAACTATATAACCAACGTATAATGTAGCTTCTCGTAGATGCAAGAATTTTCAAAATTGGTTCAGTAGTTTCAGAGCCTATTCAATGCAAAAATACAACTATTTCCTTTTTATAATTTTTGTATAGCCTAACTGTACTCACGACTTTATCCACGTGCAAAGTAGCTTTAGTTACCCCTTATTACACCAGCTTTTAACCAGTGAAAGTCCGGCCAAAATTGGTCCAGCCGTTCCAGATATTAGCCAGAACAAACACACAACAAATGTAAAAAACCTTTTTTTTTATACGTACCTACGTGGTGAAAAGCGGTTATTTTAATTTTACAAACAGGTTTCAATTTTATTTATAAAACAAGATTGCGTTCTTTATTTAAACTTTTCATTCGGATTCTGTTAAGTTTGTTAATAATCCTTCTAATATAGGTGAAGCTAAGGAATGGATCCCCGACCTAGTGAAACGTGCTCAAGCTCTCAAAGTGAATGCGGGTCATGTGCCCGGTACTGATGTTGGACCTGTTATATCTGTCAACGCCAAGAACAGGATCCTCAGGCTGGTCGAATCAGGTAACTTAATAGAGTAAGATCAACTCATATTTGCGTGCCGTGGTATGTGTGGGTAATCCTTGTATGCAGATGATTTTATATATGTCAAGAGGTACAGCCAAATAGAAATGCAGTAATTTCAACAAATTGAAAATAAAAAAATCACTCTGACGAGCTTTAGTTATTGTAAGTTAGTGTACATTATTTTGTTTTAAAACCAAGTTATAGCTGCTATGATTGATAGCATGGATTCATAAAAACAACTTAATTTGGTATCTAATTACATGTTTGTCGAATTTATTACTTAGATTGGCTACTAGAAAAATCAAACTATGAATTTTCTGATTCGCTGCTCTCAATCAATGTTAATTAAGAAATCAGATTCCATGTCCAAAAAATTTCTCTGCGAAACACAAGACACTTTCGATAACGAGTATACTCATGCAAAATAGCGATTAGAATACGTCTCACTCGGACCACAAAAATTCACCTGTGCAATTTTTTTTTTTGCATTTTTCATTAGGAATATTTCCCAGTATAGCATTGTGAATTCAAAATGGATAAAATATAATAAAAGAAACTTTATTAAGTCGGTCAGTCAGATAATAGAAAAAAAAATAGATATGTATTATTTCTTGCTTCAATTTAAGAAATGGCCAGTATAATAGGGATTAAAGTGTTTAGGCTCGATACGTCACAACTATGTAGTAAATGCAATACTAAGGTGTGTCGTGATGTGAAATTTCAAATAGATGTAGCGCTGAAATTTATTTGGCAAAATATAAAAAATACGTGTTTAATATTCTTCATTAATCTACTAGATCAGGTTCCCAAACTTATTTCGTCTCCTGCCCACTTTGACAATAAATTATTTGTAGCGCCTCTGTTTTCTAAACTATTTAAGACTACTATAACTTTACATTAAATTAATTATTGTGAACTATATTAGCGGAGATGAAACATTCACACTAAACGAGACTTACTAAAACCCGCAAGAGTTGACTTGAGACCTGAGCGCAGTAGGTAGTACATGAGTCTCAAGTTAACTCATCCTAAGCCTCTACACGATGGCCCATTTTTTTCTAGGTTACTTACCGCCCCCTTTTCGGCCTGCAGTACCCACGAGGGGGCATTTTCGCCCACTTTGGAAGAGGCTGTACTTGTGGCCATAAAAAAAATAGTTATCCCTATTTAACCTGCTTTAGAACCACTGCAAAAATATTTCTCTGCTCTTATTGAGCAGAGATTTCTACCAGAGACCCAACAGGACCTAAGAATTTCTCAAGAAGCTATTACTTTCGTTACTAGCGAACGATTATTGATTAAATATAATAATAATTAGAGTAACTCGGTGTTGCAGTAGATAAGCGCTGCGGCCCGTGATTGTTGTTGTTTAGCATCATTCGCAAGGGTCGGTCACGGGATGGGTGACCAAAAAATTATTATCTCGAGCTATTCCGTGCTACGGAAGGCACGTTAAGCCGTTACTCCCGGCTGCACTTGCAGTCGTTAATGCCCATTGTGCCAGCGTCGTGGCCCATCCTCCTTAACCATCCATAAGGAAGGCCATAGTTGGCCCTACAATGGTGATGTAAAAGGTCTGATGATAATGATAATAATTATTTCGTTTTGCAGGTGTAAAAGAAGGCGCGAAACTAGCGCTAGACGGACGCGGCGTAAAAGTCTCCGGTTTCGAGAAAGGCAACTTCGTCGGTCCAACTATCCTTACCGATGTTACGCCTCCAATGGAGTGCTACAAGGAGGAAATCTTCGGCCCCGTTCTTATTTGCCTGTTTGTTGATACACTAGATGAGGCAATACAGATGATCAACTCCAACCCTTACGGCAACGGAACAGCCATATTCACAACCAACGGAGCTACTGCTAGGAAATTCGCCAATGAAATTGACGTAGGACAAGTCGGGGTAAATGTGCCAATTCCTGTCCCACTCTCCATGTTCTCTTTCTCTGGTACAAGAGGAAGCTTTTTGGGCACAAATCATTTTTGCGGCAAACAAGGCTTGGACTTTTACACTGAATTGAAGACAGTTGTATCATTCTGGAGGCAAAGCGACGTATCTCATGCTAGAGCTGCAGTATCCATGCCTACACAACAATAAGAGTAATATAAAATATGATGTAAATGTTATTTAAACAAAACAAAGAGACTGCCTTAAAAATAAATTTATTTATTTTTATATTTATAATATCAACTTTATAGCGTTTGGTAATAAGTGTCACAGTTTATTTCTTTATGTTTCTAGAGGCTGATTTATTTTTGTATAACAATTTTAATTGTAAATATTACAGCATTGTATTTCATTGATCATAGTGAATTACAAATCGTCTTCCAGTATAATGTTATAAGTATAATTATTATATATTTTATTTTTGTTGTTACCCGTATATAAAAATGCAAATATAATACATAATATTTTTATAATCTTTTTTTTCTTTTCCTTATTGGGTAAATAATAATATTATGCTACGTAGGAATCTTTTCAGTCAACCCATATCGAAAGACAAATATAATGCCTAAATAAAGGACGGCAAGACTGGATGTCAGGCGATAGTAGATAAAGTAACTATTAAGTTTTATCTAAAAAATAAAAGGTTAATTCAGTAAATTAAGATTTAATGATATGATATAAGGGTAAATGAGGTTGATGTTTCAAAATCTATCCAGGACTGCCAAAGATAATGGTTGGCATCTTCGAAGGGCTGACAGTAAGGTTAAAGTCCATTAACTGTTACTGCGTAAGAAAGATCTATCAACACCTGGATATAATTCTGGGGCTTGTCAAAATAAAAGTATTTGTTTGATATGATTTATAAAAATGGAGAAGAGGGGTGGACATTATACGCCACCTTAAGGAACTCCGGCATTTATGCACCATGAGAAGTTGTCTTCGCCAAGGATGCGTTGCTGACGTCCTGACAGCTAACTGTGAAACCATTTGCTACTAGAGATTATTAAAGAATGCAGAATACTAAAGGAGATCTACTGAAGTCGAGTAACGTCAGCTGCCGATTTTCCATATCATATCGAATATTAACTGAATTCTATCAATGCAGCGGAAGTGTTGTGGGCTGTACGGAAGTCAAATTGATAAGGGATGAAAGAGTTTGGTTTGGACTAAGGGTAGCAGTAAGCGGTACACTAGTTTTACAAAGACCTGAAAGGGAAATAACAATGTATATTGGGCGGTATTCGGTAAACGCGTTTGGGCTTTTTTTTTTAATGGGGATAACATTAGCATCCTTCCGGACCTCAGAAAAAACACCGGTGCAGATATTAGAATAAATATCTGCACCGGTGTTTGTGATGTTGAGGTGTGGTGTGATGGTGTGATGGTGAGGATCATCTTGGCGATCTATAGAGTCGCTACCAACTAGACCAATGGTTCCCTTATTACCACAGTCAGCCAATTTGTGGATGAAAAAAGAGAAATCTGGTATTGTTAGATTAGAGAGACGATATCAAGTTTGAGCTTTACGACTTCTATAGTATAGAATAGAAGTAACTATTAAATTGATTGATATCGATATGTAGAATAAATACGTATGATCAGAATATTTTAAAGAGAAACGTTCCGGGTTTCTCTATCTTTTGTATTTCTTCGAACGAGAAATAAAGAATTTTTGATGACCGGCAATAAAAAGTAAACTGAAAATTCTAATAAATACGTTATTTATTATTGAGAACTAAAGAAATAATTAAAATAATCCGCTGCCGATAACATTAAACAATGAACAAAGCAGCACAGTAGTAACTACTCCGTAATCGTTTGTTGTTGTTCTGCCTACCTATCAATATCACGGGCCCTCCCTATTCATCCATCCGTAACCCGCGATAATTCACACTGGGGCCTATTGCGGATTAATGGATGTTACTGACTGCTGTTGCAGCCGAGACCAACGGCTTAACGTACCTTCTGAGCACGGAGGAGCTTAAGAATACAAATACAAAACACAATTATCTTTATTTGCTGTCAAATATGGTAATGAGTTGGTAATGGAAAAGTTACTTATTGTGTTGAGCCAGACACAGAGCCGTTGTGCAGAGGTGACATGTAAATTTCAAATCCTAATTATGATAGAAATGCGACAATTTATACAAATACAATTACTAGTAATTGTACTTAGTAATTGTATTTAAAAAAATACAAATTTTCGTTAAGAATACAAATAAAGCTTAATTTCATTTATTTTTTTTTTAATAAATTTATCAGAAACTGTCATAAAACCATAACTACTTCATAACAATGATTCTTATTACAAAACTTACAAAGGTTGTAATTTTTAATTGGTATTCTATACTTTTGAATTGATTTAATACAATAAATGTGAGATAATTCGTACAGATAAGTGTGTTTTAAATTGTGGCAAATTCGGTTTCACATTATTATAAAAATGTACACACATACAGATAAAGTTTTTGCCAATCTGGGCTGTTCCCGGTATGTTACAGAGTACTAGATATCTTTTATTTATATCATGTCGCATGCTCTCTTAAATAAGCTAAGCATGTAGGTAACAGATAAGTATAGGTAATATTTTTTTTTGGTGCTTGATAACTTGTTTAAATATATATTAACCTCTGCATTGCCGTCTGAATGCGCTAACCGCTGCGCTATCGAGCGCTTGACTCGTCTTTCTTTGTCAAGACTTCATTTTACTCAGCTATTTCTCATGAGACTGAGAAAAATTGATAACATAAATCATCTGCTTAGAAACATTACACATTATAGTCATAATTATGACATTGTATCTACATAATAGATTCTAAAACATAAACACGAGCTGCCAATGTTATTGTAAGATCCCAAACATGGGATAACAAGTCCGTCTCTTTTATCGTAACGGCGAACGAAAAGGATAGACAATAACTCAGGCGCAGCTGTGATTAAACTAGTTCCGAGTGATGTTAGTCATGTTGCGTGAATGGTTCCGTTGGGACATTGAAGAAATTTTTTTTTAACCAAACGAAAGGAAACAATATCATTAATGTTGTATAAACACACGTTTGTTTGATACTTTAGCTACATCGAAGGATGATCGAATAACGTGACATCATATCCAAACCGACGCTAACATCCTGCGGTCCTTAGTACAACTGTGATTATCGTGTTATAGACACCCGCGATGCGTTACATTACATTATTATTGACGATATTTATATCGAAATCTATGTGTCTAACGCCACAGTGCAGAAATGAAAAAGGCGAACCTGTTGATTGGTGAGTTCCTGATTTTTTTTATACACAAGCAGTAGTTTTAGGTACGTAAATATTCATTTTTTTCTCGTAAGAGATCTTAAGTGAGAGATCGTTTTTTTTTTAAATTGTATTATATAGTTTACCACGGACGGGAATCGAACCGCGCATTTACGTAATGGAATCACTGTTAGAAAATTATTTTAAACGTTATGATTTCGGGAAGTGTCTTGGTTACGCTGGAGTCGCGTGGAGTAGGATTATTTATTCCAATTAACAACATAAAACTTAATTAATTTATCCTTTGTTAATATTAAAGCATTAGTCAGGTTATGAGTCAACATTTATACATTTGTTTATCGAAATCACAACTGGTTTCATTCGCAGTAAAATTGTATTTAAGTGTTTACCGATTCGAAAAGTTGTCAATAACATAAAGAAAACAATATATAGTTAGTAATTTTTGAGATAAAAAAACAGCAAATTTATCTTTGTCATTTATACAAATTCTATGAAGAGCAAAGTTGTTTACAAAAAATAAGCAAAATTTACCTTATCACCGAAATGAACAAGCCTGAAATGTTTAAAAATATTACAAAATTAGACTATAATCAGTTACAACTGCTTGTATTCTGCCGAATCACCGAGATAAGCTTTTTTAAGTTCCATTGGCATAAATGTTCGTCTATTTTGTAAAGTAATGAACTGCTTGTTACCCGACTGCGCGACACAAATACGGGTAATGTGTTTATCAGTCTATGTTTGTTTCTATGTGGCATTCTAGAGACCAAATGTGTAGGCCGATTTTGATGATTCTTACGTCAATCGATTCGTCTTAACCTTGCGAGTGTCACTAAAGACATGACAGTAATCAAAATTCACTACAGCGACAACCAGACGCCATATTGTCAAAATAAAAAAAAAATCGACGAAGTATGTCAAGTGGAGTGTCGTTGAATAGGTATTTTCAGGACTTTACTTATGAATGAATAAAGACTCTTTTGTCACAGACACAAAATAAATTTAAAAAAATTTAGATTTCTCCTAGAGCGAGAAGTAGCCCCGCCAAATGTGGAGAAATAATATTTTTTAATGTAATTAAATACAAATGTGTGATGAGCAGTGGTCGGAATTAGGTAGAGTTATTCATGTACTTACACTGATTTCATACAGCGAAAGAATAAAGTGGATATGCCTCAAATCACGAGATTAATTTTAAAGAGCAGAAAAAATCCGTGATTTTTTAAATAAAAATTTATTTACTTTTACTCAATTTAAACTACTGCACGCACGACGTTGCCAAACTTACATCAATGAAAGAAAGAAATAAACAAAGAAGAAATAAAGAAATCCCGGGAAGGTCCACATTAATATCAACATTTCGATGCAAGTACATAAATAACTCTACCTAATTCTGACCTCTGGTGATGAGTTTAAGTTATCTTCAGTAATAATCTTCGTTTTTTTTTTGTTTTTCAAATTCTTTCGTTATTTTATTTAAATCAGGTTTTACATGTACAAGTTACCCAGAGAGAAGAATCATCTGAACCCATTGATTCGTAAAGGAGTGGCGTATATGCATCTCACGCCCTCAAAGCTGCGAGGAGGATGGATAATGTCAGATTTGTCTATCAGCGATCCACGTTCGATGCTGGGTAGGACACTATCGCCATTGTATCAGGTAAACTTATGTATTGCTTTAAGAGAACCGAAAGCAGTCAAACTAAGAGTATCCTAAAATAAGCTACATATTTGTAGTGAAAAATAAGAAAACTAAAACCTGTTTTTACTAAACTAGAACATCGCATAGCTTAATTAGGAAACTCCTAATCTTACGAATAGCATAAGCAGATTAGTTTAGTTCCGAGTAAACACTTCTTCTTTTAGCCCTTGACACATTTATGACCTGTGATATTACGCAAATGCCTAGCGCAGGGCGCCGCAAAAAGGCATGGTAGTCTTTAGAAATTAGGCTAAATGTCATTAGGTGATTCTTAGTCATTGGTGAATGCATTTTTCACCAAATTCAATTAAAATATTTAGGCGACAGATTTGGGATCAATATCGTTATTGTTCTGTTTTAGGATAGGAACATAATTTCCGTGTTGTACAACGATCAGCCGCCGGCCGGTGAAAATCAGCCTGACGTTTTGCAGTCCGTTGCTGCTATGTACTCGAAAAGTAAAAAAGGTAATATGCATTCATATGTGAAGCTTCTGGAATAACTTTACGATGAGGAAATACACCAAGGAGTTTAGTATACTTATAAACGGATTTGGTATGACGATAATTTCCCCATTGCTGGTGCGCAAAAACAAAAACAGAATACACCCGGGACTAGAATTGCTAGATGTTTGGGATTCATCTGGATTATTCCCAATTTTCGAATGATTTCCAGAGTCTTGAGAACAAAAAACAAACGAAAAGTTCGACATAATCATTTCATGTGGATCCAGGAGTGTCTTCAGATTTACTACAAACTCCTATTATTTACTAGGAAATCAAAAGGTATAGAAATGTATTAATCACGTGATGTTTTTTTCGGCATTGTTGACCCCCCCCCCCCCCCCCTTGGTGATACATGGTGAAATTTAAGAGTAAAACCTACTAAAAAAATTTTAGTAGGTACCTATAAAAAAATCTTCATTTTTGATGTCGCTTTTCGGTTTAAGCAATCGCGTATTTGAGGAAATAATAAATACACGTAATATATTACTACACTCCCCCTCCGCCCTTGTGTCATTTCGTGATATTTGACGAACCCCTCCACCCCTTTCGAGCGAAACGTGATTAATAGACGGCACCTTCTAACCACTCTTCTAACGCAAGAATTTTTTTCGCCTGGGAAAGGGTTTCGGTGAGCAACATTGTGCTGCAGTCTAATTTAGAGATAGTTTTTATTTATTTACAATGGGCTCACTCTTGACCTCAATCTAGCCTAAGGACATAGATGAGATCTACGGTGGGACGAGCTTGCCCAGAAGGAACCTATTCACTCTTGCCTTAAATAATTAATAGTAATAAGCATATATCATCCAGGTACGGCGAAGCAAGCGGGCATGAAGAAGTTCAAGAAGTTCAAGCTCGGCGATAAGTACTACGACGATTATGACTTGGCGGAAATGTGTAAAATGCACTCCAAGTTCATGAAAACGCGCGTCGAGAATGGCCACACCAAGGGTGTGATACTTGGCGACAAGTTTACTTCGCTTTGGCTGGTACATTCAGTGCCCAGATTCCCGCCAGTGCCAGACAGTGAGTGCTTATAAGTTTTAATGTATACTGGGTCAGTATATAAAACAGAGACATTGCCATTTTTATCGTTTTTTAAGTGGCTTTAAACTTATATTACATGCCAGTTCCATCGTGATCACAATAGTTTAATTAAGTATCATCACTTAGACTTCTAGCTGCAAATTGGTAGGTTAATAAAGCTTCTTTTGATGTTGGATTAGCATGGTCTGGAATAATCGTATAACTACTTTATTGATCTTCAAATCGCAATTAGATTATCTCGCTTAGTTTGACACATTCCACCAATATATGGAAGATCTCCTCAATATTTATTTTTGGTAATGAGATATCCAAACTCATTGAGAGGAATATGTCCAGAATGTAGCCTTTGAGCCAGTACAACGAACTTTCTATGAATGGGAATATTGAAAACATTAGTCTTTTTTATTATCAACATTCTTAAGTTTCTCAATCCCTAGTGGTAATACAATGATTCTCTTATTCCAGTGCATGGTTTGAACGTTAGTTCGTACGACTACCCAACTACTGGTATGAAATACGGACAGTCGTTTCTTTGTGTGTCGGTGCAGACTTCCACATTGAATCAGATTGCCACCCAACTGAAGTATAATGAACCACTAATAGTTTACCACCACATACCGCCTGAGTTCGACAGTGAGCTACCAAATTTAGTTGACGTCGTAAACAATAAGACTATTGATGCATCGCCCTGGTAAGTTAAAATAAATTTTTGGTCTATTCGAAGGCTATTCTTTATTCAAGTTGGTAGCATTTAAGGACGGATTCAGCTTTCAAATCGAGGGGGCCACAAACACGAAATCTATTGGCATTTAATATAGTTGATAGCCTAAAGGGGGTTACGGCCACAATGACCTCTGGATCAGCCCTTGGAAGCCTTATTATAACTCTTTTTCAATTGGCCAATGTTTTTATTAATGCACGCATATTGATATCTGCAGCTTAGCGTGAACTATCGTATTTTAATTAAAATAAATTAGAACTCACATTTGAAACCGTCCGTAGATATTCTGCATTTCCAAAAGCAAGCTATGAATCAATGTGAGTCATAGTTTAACTTTTACCTTATTCTCCAATACGAGTATATTAATTTCTATAAGTTAAAAATATTTGTAACCATATTCTCAGGTATCACATAGAAAGCTTTGAAACATTGGTGGGTCGCAAGTTCCTTTCCTTCGCCAAGAGTGCTATGTTCAATGATGATTTGTACAGTGGACTGGTTGCTGAAGTTCTGCAGTCAGATTTACTGGTAGAATCGTGGACTAACGGCCCGGGAACTCTAGATTCGGAGTGCAGCAGAAATTTTCAGTATGTACCTTAATTACATTTTAAAGATGGCAAGTTTTTTAATGGCAACACTAAGGCAATAGCACTGACGCGACTAATATATTTCTGTTGTCATTCATCATCAGCCCATAATATCTCCACTGCTGGGCCGCAGGCCTATACTGTAATAACAGTTTGTTTGTCATCTCTATTATAATATAACTATCGCTATAAAATGAATTTCTTGTTTCAAACTTTTTAGAGCGTGATATAGCTTGTTTTTTTATTAATTTTCTTTGCCTAATGCAAAAGTCCTATTGTACTTTCAGGGTTAGAAATATAGAGCGGCTGAAGTTTCCTATAGCGAAGATGTCGTTTACTTCTCATGACGACCATTCAAAGTGGGCAGTTGCTGTCGCACACAAGATGCATAACAGTCAAGATACCAAGGTGGCAGACTACTGGGTCTGCGTGGGAGATATCAACAGAGCGGTGAGTTCAAACACTCATTAGTGTATTAAAAACGAGTAAACAAAAACCCAGTCAAGTTCAAGTCGAACAAAGGGTACGAAAGGTCCCATAATCCAAGACGCAAATAAAATCAAGTTTATTTTATATTTATTTTCTTCTGTTTTTTAGTAATATTTGTTATAGTGGCGCCAGAATGTACATACGCTGTACGTCAGGAACTGTGTGTACTTCGGTTATATGTAAAATTTTTGGAATTTGTTTTCAATATATTAAGGTTTAAATCGATTAGGAAAATGGCGATGTGCACGACTTCAGCGACACCTAGCGCCCTCAACTTCGGCAGCTTTGACGCTTTGAAATTATATGTCTTATTTTTAACGAAACATTCAAATTAAAAACTATCTATTATTACATAACTATCGCGATACTGTAATTTGGGTGGACATAGGGTTGTAAAATTATTTTTAATCATTCAAATAAAATGAGTTAACTAAATTCTATTTAAAAAATGTGCTTTACTTTGATTATGTCAGAATTTGTTTAGCTCATTTTTAGTGCAACTAAATTTTACTGTAAAACAAGAAATTAAAGCGTCTTAGACGATTTCATTCAATAATAGTCAACATATACAATTATTCCTGTAATAAATATTACAGGATAAAATGAAATATGGGGTTTTAGATCGATATGAGTATTATTTTGAGGACCGTATTTGTGTCTATCACTCACAATACAGAATAAAAACTTTTGTTTTTGCCTATCTTTTTAAAGAAGGTAATTATTAATCGGAAGTCATAATTATAATTGGGTTTTTATTTTAATATTAATTATATTGCAGCTGAATACAGCACGACTAAAGTAGCTAAGTGATAGAAGCAAACATAAACTTTATTTTTGTAATTGTATTTAAAAAAAAACTTCAATCAATCAATCAGAATGTCATTTAAATTTAAAATATATATGTAATGTGATGTTGGTTTGATACGCGTTACCCCCACCTAGTACTTAGCACCCAGCGAATAGTCATCAAGAAAAATTTCAACTGTCAAACCATCACAGTTCTTGAGATACATACTTAGATGATGTATTTCTTTTGCTGCTATAAAAACAAGTAAAAACAGAATAAAATATATATTTAAGGGGCTGCCGTGTTTCCATTGATAATTGTACGGAACATTTCGTGCGCGAGTCTGACTCGCGAGTCTTTTGTTTGCTTTATTGTATTCATAGTATCTTTGTGAGTAAAACTAATAATTAGAGACACTGCGAATATCCGTTTGGTATTCGGTATTCGGCGTATACGGCATCATTTTTACGATTTGTATTCGGCCACTTGTTCAATTCAACTATTTCTAACATGGTCCTTTTATATTTTAATAATAAGGTCTAATTTTTCTTGCAGTTACCACAGGAATCGCGCGGTGGAGGCACCGTATGTACTTCAGGACCAATATTATGGGGCAATTTCGCTCACCTTATCGAGTCTGTACAAACATGTACTTAACTATTATTATAAGATTAATCTAAAGCGGTCTCTAGATTGAATTAACATGCTATAATAATATCAATTATTAAGCCAATTTGTAAATACGGATTATATTTCTTTTTAAATTTATGACCTTTTTACGCTGGTGGTCTTTACACGCAAAGAGATGATTTAGAAATAAAAGATCAAGCACACAAGACAGTAACATGTCATGTCGCACGATCGTCTAGAGACCGTTTAATTTATAATAATTAAAGTAAAGTAGGGGTTATGTAAACTATCTGGGATTATTTTAAGTGGGTTGAACGAACGTTCTGTGGTTCCTATCGTTTTAACTTTGGAACACGAGGAACATAAGGTTGGAACATGAATAGTGTTTCAACCTTACCATGTTTATGAGTTGATTTTGAGATAGACGACTGAGTAAAAATGAAAGAAATAGTCGAATTTATAGAGTTGAATGTAAGGGTTGATCAATCTTTATTACCACGGAGTCGAGCGTATTTTTTACTTATTTATTTCATGCTTACAATTATTATTACAGGATTGTATATCCCACTATTTTTATAATTCTTGTGAATATCTTTCTCGGACGATTGAAATTATTTAAAGATAAAGTAATGTGGTTACTTAATCATTAGTGCTTGTGGCTAGTGACTCGAATTACACTTTCTTTTTGTCAGTAAATAGAAAGAACAAGATGAAATCACAAGAAACACACTTCATTTACCTAAAGGTTGTTTAAGTAGTGTATTTGAGAATGAGACAATTATTACATTTGAAATGGTGTTCACGATTATCCCGATGTAAATATCTATACTATGTTTGGACTTAAAATATTTAAGACAGGTAGTTAGGGTATATACCCATTATTATAAATTCTTTAAAGTAAGTTTAGTTTATATTAAATGGTAAAAAATTGTAAATACTTTTTTAGAAGAATGTGATTGTGCCAGTAACGAAGTATGCAACGAAAAGTTTTATAATAATACTTTAAATAAACTGAAAATTCTTCAAAATTACTTACTATTAATTTTCCGTTAATGTATACGAAATCTGTTAGACTGTCACAAATTAGTATTATTTTAGTACAAAATCGTTTAAGTGTTTATGGTCATGATTTGAATATGATCATAGTTTATGGTAAAAAAAAAACTTAAAAATAGAAAATAAGTTTATTGATTTATATCTATAGAAATAAGTTTAATCTTCATAAATGTAGCTTAATAATAAAGTTATGTTCATATTTAATTATGAGAACTGTCGAAATCACGGTGCATCATCCTCATTAATTTTAAAACCCTTAAGCGACATCTAGTGGAGAAAAAAGTTATTATCAGGTTAAAAATACTAAAGCTTAGCCTAATTGCTCTTTGAATTTTTTAAAGGAAGCTAATTTAATTCTTAGGATGAAACGAATGTACTGAATGTGCTGTAAAAATGCTGCGTCGAATAAAAATCAAATAAAAGCATCTATACTAGGTTTTATTTGTATCATACCTCTAATACTGTAACGCTGTGTTCGGCGCTGTATTTTTAACGGAACAATGCTGATGCGTTATCAGCCCTAATGATGAATGGTTCTGTTGTCTTTTTTATAAAGCTAATTTTCTTCATTTCTTTGTTTATCAGGGAATCTTGCTAGTCCTAAGTATATAATTTTACATAATAAGAACACAAAAATATAAAAGTATCAAAATAATTTGTCTTTCAATTTCTCGTCGCATATAATTTCTAGATAGCATCAAAATTTTTCCTAAAATTCTATTCTTTCGTTCCTTCAGTGCGTTCCACCGATAGATGTGCAATCACCGTAATCTGATGTCAAGGTCATTAAAAAAATAGGGATTATTATTAATTTTTTTTTTGTCTGTCCGTCTGGTAGATTATTAAGGTACCTATCTATTGAACGAGTATCTTTTTCCTTTTTTGTGCGTAATTAATAAATTACGGCGATACATTGTCTTGAAATGTCGTATGGCGTTGTAGAGGCTAGGCTAGGCTTTGTAGAGTTTTTAACATAGTTGTGACATAGAGTCTCTTCCCTCTTTACTGTATATTATCCTATCTACACCATTTCTTGTCAAATCGAAGCAAACAAAAAATACGCATGTTTCTATGATCTGACTGATAGAATAAATAGAATTCCCTATTCATAACGTATTTCATATTATTATCACAGCATTATAAAACGGTTTACAATTTGAGTTATTGAATTTTCGTTGATAATGCTACAAAAACTCAAAAGTTATACTACCCGCTATAAGAACCATCGGAGAGTGCAGTCTTTCCTCTTTTCCTGTTATGATTTTAGCGAATGGCTGCAGCCCATTTGAAGGCCCCCGAGAACCGGAGGCCCAGGGCGGACCGCCCTCTCCCCCCTTAGTCCGCCACTATTGTGTAAATTAATTATTTTGAGTTATTGGTATGGGTAAGGGAGGTGACGAACCACTCGCAGGCTTCTAGTGAGTGGATTACAGTTCTGGAGCTCTATTTTTGATTCACTCGTTTTAAATCGCCTTGCCATATACGACTTAAGTCATGCTCGACTTCCAAGTCGCATGATGCCGTTTATAGTATTTCTGAATCGTCCGTCTGCAGCGTGGCCAACGTGATTCGAAATATTGATTTTTGTTCTTCGTTTTATATGGAAAAAGTTTTTCGCCATATAATAAAAGTGTGAATATAAACAAAACGGCCATAAATGTCATTTATTCATTAATTTCATCATTCATTGATTTATTTCATGTTTGACGTTTACTCTATCACTCGCATACAGCGTTCGCAAAACAACGATTGGTTCATACCACTCGTTGCAGTCGTGCGAATCAGAAATGGCCAATATGTTTTGTTGAACAAAAATCAGTAGAAAACGAGCGCCGGACGCGAGACGAATGATTCAAAAATAGAGCTCCTTTTATGTCACAGATACCAGAAACACTATGTGCTTAAAGAGTGACCGTGTATTTATTTTCATTGACGATATAAAATTATTTTTTGCAAACTGGTTCATTTTAAACGAATGAACAAAAAAAAATAAAATATTTACAGGTTATTAAATGGGCATTCTCCTTTCAGTTTTTACTTAATTCTGTTACGGGTAAAAAAACGTAAATCACTCTTTTTGATCCATTTTTAACGTGATGTCGTTTCGTGACAGAAATATCTCGAACATTGTGTCGCCATCTAGTTATTTTAGTAGTTTCTTTTTTTAATATCTACTTCCTTATTGGCAACCGTACTTGTAGCCTATAATAAAATAGGCCATTCGTAAAAATCAGTTATAAACTTTATCAATATAGGTAGTTTGATTTTGTAGCTTAATAATAAAACATGTACTATAATGTTTTATGTGCAATATATTGTGCTTGTTTACTTTATAGAATTCAGCACTACTATTAATTATATAGAAGGTTGGAATTACATAAATTTACATTGTAGAGACAATGAAAACACGCCTGTTGATTGGTAAGTTACATACTTTTACGAATTGATGAAACTATTCCCTGAAAACGGAATTTCGTCTATTTTCGAAATGTCAATGGGATAATAAATAGGTTGCATAATAATTTATTATGCAACCTACCGACTTAATGAAACTTGGCATCTTAGGAAATAATTATTACTACAAGGTTTATGGACTACAAATATAATATGCCCTCAGTATTAATTCGTATGAGTTATAAATATTAACTGCCTCGTCAGCAACCACCTCCGATACAAAGAATGGGACATAACCCGTCACACGAGGCTAATGTGGATTGGTGAGTGATGATTACTGATGTGGCCGGGACTGACGGCTCAATAAAGTGACTTCCGAAGTACTGAGGAGCGCGATATATTATTTTGGTTGGCATCAGATGTAAGCTTGACTATTTTGTGACAAAATCACCTTTGAACTGAACATCGAGCACAGCGTTGTCACAGCATAGAGGTTCATCAAAATAAAACCTTTCAAAGTACGTTTTATTTAATTAAACCTCTATGCTGTGACAATGTTATGCTCGAGTCCAGGTCAATGCTGAAGTGTTTACAGAATTGCACGGACTGAATGCTCTAATCACAAAATATTCCTCAATCAATTAGCTTTTTCAATTGTTGAAGATTTATAAAAGGATGAAATTGTGGCCAAAAACTTACAATGAAATAATGTAGTTAACATGAACGTCAAGGTTTAACAAAACAAAAGGATCATAACTAAAACATTTTACCAGAGCTATCTCTCGATAGTCAAAACAACTAAAACTAAATATTTTCACCTTAAATATTTATTCCAGGTGGTACATATACAAGCCACCTAGTATGACGGTACCGTACCTTGAACGTGGTCATAACTTCACGTATATTACACCCAGTACCGCTGGTCGATGGCAATATTCCAGCGTCTACCTTACTTCGATGAACTCCATGCTGCATAGTACACTGTCACCATTATTCCGGGTTTGAACAGTTGTTTATACTCATGACATGATAATTTAATAATTCTGCATCTTTTTTATGCTGTCGTCTGTCGGTTGCCATCTTGGCGCCGTGTCTGGCGGCGGTTTCTTTCAAATTTTTCTGACACGCACGTACTTTGTTTTAAAAGCATAGCTATTTGTTGCGATTTTTTCTTGTAAAATATATTTTTTTATTTTTTTTTCTACAAAGAGTTTTCTTGGTAGTTATGCTATTTACTAACTAATTACTGCAGTGATGTTTTGTTTCATCTAAATTCATTAACGGAAGGTAGGAAGAAATGCACACTATTTTTTTATTTACTTTTGCTTATTTATTTAAAAACATTACAAAATCAATAGAGTCGATTTAATTCAACTTAAAAGTCGATTATTTTTAGCAAACCTACAAAAATCACATAGCGGTGGTAAGTTACGACCAGAGGAGTACTATGGATGATGAAGAAGGCACCTCTGCATTCGGTATAATGATGGCTGATGAGTTGGGAGGTGCCTGGATAGGCCATTCTGTGCCAGAACTCTTAGATATGACGAGTTAGTTTTGTATACATATTTCCTTTTGAGATAACTATCGCTTGGTTGAACCAAAATGGCGACTACGCAGTGGCACATTTTTGGATCTCAATAGAGGTGCGGGGGTGACAGAGACCGTAACCTGAAAGCTAATTGTAGTATAAGTTTTCTTGCAGTTTACGTTCACTTTCGTGAGCACGTTGATTTTAGTATGGAAACCGGCACAAGACTCCCAGTGGTAGGTAGTATTTGAGACAGTAAAAATTTATTTATGGTTTATTAGTAAAATTTGCTCAAAAACTTTTGTTACTCTGGAGCTTATTTGAAGATAAGCTACATTATTACTATAAACAAATAAATATATCTTATAATAGGAGAGGGGAGGAGGATTTAAAAGTAGTAAGTCAGAGCAAGAGTGCAACCGCCATGAATCTAGCCATATGTTACCACATATAAGTGATATAATGGCGTACACATATATTTTATTTTACTACTTTGACATTCTTTTTGGTGGAGAAACGACTAAGTTGGCTTATATTTATTCCTTATCAAGTGCTCGTAATTGTTAAGGTACATAGGCTAAGCTGAAATGAAATATCGCCATAATATCGCTAAGATGTCCTGTTATATGTCTATAGCTAGAGTAAGACGGTCGGTGGTTGGAACAGCCCAAAAGTAAATTTTTAATATCAAGATGGACATTGCGAAACTGCAATAAGTAAATAAAAAATCGTATAAATGGCTAATGGTAATATTTTCTTCAGAGGACAGAATAAGTTTTCCTGTGAATGAAAGCGATAACGGACATATTATAGTGTGCTTATCACTCGATCTGCTAACCCTAAATAAGTTAGGCGTTGAACTTAAAAAGATAAATCCGAAATTCACTACGATACGCATACCGACGAGCATGAAGGAACATTTACCGATGTGGAGTTATATTAATCATCCTGATCGAACACTACTGAGAAGGTAATCTGACCATTATTAAGTATTTACTTCTAAAACCCTAGACTACGAAGTTACAACAGATTTTTAAATAGATCGATGCAAAAGCATCATTCGACGCTGAAACGCAAACACGTAGTAAAGCGCAAACCCAAAGTTTTTATTTATTTTTACTTTTTGAAAAACAATTCTCATTAACTACTATGAAACTACAGGAACGATATTAAAAATTATTTCACCTGCCGAGGCCACATACGGGGTTGACATAGGATATAATTTACGTATACGTAATCGCGGGGAAACAGCTAGTAATATTATTATGCAAAGAAGGATTTGATCGTCTGATAGCATTGCAATGGCTCCAAATCTTCTGAACCGATTAGAAAAATTCTTACACCTACGGGAAGCCACATCATACGAGGGTGACAGGCTATTATTTACGCAGGCGAAGTCGCGTTCGATTTAAAGATTAATTACATTTAACTTTTCATAATTTTTAGCTATACAAAAGGTAAAACTATGGACTTTAACACAAGACAAAACACTTTATTTGGCTTTATGATGTTGCGTCAGCCTGGTGACAACAGCTGTTTTTATGAAATATTTGCAAGAAAAAACCACATAGTAATAGATGTTTATGGTCATAAGCATAGCGATACACCTATATGTCAGCGGGAATATAGGTAAAATATATTTGATACTCAAACTTAAATGGATATCCTTTGATCATTTCATGTTATTTTTTAAAGTCTATTATAAGCATAAGTAAATAAGACAGCCTCATTTACATTGATTGCAAATGAGTAGTTAAAGTCCTCGTATTATGGAGTATTTCTCAACGAATAACAACATTGCAACAAGATCTAATCTGATTTGTGAAAAGATCTTACTTATTTTCCATCAATGGCTACTTCATCAATTCTGCCAATTTCACGTAGATGACCATAACGCGATGTATATAAATTTAACTATTTGCAGATTTCTGGTCTCTTTCTAAGTGGAATTAATCAGAACAATATATTTAATTGAATAAAGTTCTTCTCCTACAATATATTAGATGCCGCAGTCATGAACAAGTGACAGCTGTTATAACCCCTTGGAGCCATTTTCTATTAACTTTCAGTTTAGCACCTTTATTATTGTAAAACAACTAATTCAACGAAACCAATCTTGCAGACACCACTAACTTTTCTCCTGTATTCGTGCGTCAGTCCACCAAGAAGCATCATGAGTCCATCGGGAGTTGTTAGATTTTGTAACTCAATATTTGTTTCTAATCATGTCTCTAAAGATCACAGGATAACACAGAAATCTTAATAACTATCTAACTGCTCACATTATTCTGATCTTTCATACTATATGGTTAAAATATATATTTTAGCGTCCGCAACATCGACGCTATATCCATAAAGGCGCCTGGGCACGTAAGTTATATACCGAACGCCAGAGATCGTGCAGGATTCGCAGTTAGCACCGCAGCGCACTGGCAGCGTAGTGGCACTGGACCGAAACAATACTGGGCTTGTGTAAACAATTACGACAATACAAATGAGGCTCTTATTATATGCGTCAACGATTACAACGTCTGGTTGACATTCGATAATTTTAAAATTAAGGAGCCTGAATGCTAGATCCTGCTCGAAGGACCAAATTTCGGAGTTAGATAACCCTTTATTTTAAGCACTGACATAATTTGTTAAGCAACTAAAAATAAAAAATAAATTGTCATTAAATTTTATAAAATAAAAAAATTTTTTTTTTTAGAAATATTTAATATACAACAAAGATATTTATTTACATAGCCAAAACTGCACATGATGAACATCAAATTTGACTCAGTGAACACACAAACCATAAACTTACATACGAAATCAAAAACCATAGATAGATTAGTTAGGTACACTGGAAGTTTCTAACTATTAAATTAATATTCAATCAAAATGTTTATAAATTATACAAAAATCAATTGGCATTGTGTGAGCTTGACACTATACAATTCATACGTCACACAAGCAAATCTTTAATGTAGTACCTACCCTTAGCAAGTGAAATCATACTGTGGAAATCATCGAGGGAAAATATAGTGAGAATCAAATCTTATAAAGTATAATAATAATATTTTCTTTTGTATTGTAATACAAGCCTAAGTTCCTGTTATGGATGTCAGGTGGCGTTGTACAAATATCAATACATTGTGGTCGATAAGAATTTTATAAGTATTCTTTAGTTGTCTTACTAGGAAGGGACTACTATATTCGTGGTGTGATAGGATGCGGAAATCCATCACCGTCGTTATAAAAAAAACCCTCCAAGCTTTATTTAATCAAGTATATCTCGTGTGCTTTACATTTGGCACTTAATCATCCACTATCCCACACATCGAAAAGGGGACTAGCAGGTCGCAATTATAAAATTCACAATTACAATCTTAAAAATAAAATTTATAATAATGTTATATTAAGTGAAGATCCTCATACAACCATTTGTAAGCATGATGACTGAGTAAATAACTTACACCAGCAAAAATATGTGATTACAAAAAGATACAAATGTTATGCATAATAAAAACTTATAGCTGATGTGTAAATTGCTGTCAATTATTTATATCCAAACAAATTGGTTTAATTATAAGCCGAGATAACATAGATAATCCATTGTACACGCATCTACAACAAATTAGTCATCTAAAATCATAATGACTGAAGAATATTTCAGATTTCTACTGATTGTCAAAATTAAAGTACGGTGTTCTAAAGATGATGAAGAAACATTACTGCTGAAATATCGACAAATAGTTCAAAGCACCCAGAACGGGGACACATCAGCTCTCCAATTTATAACAAATACGCTTTTCATTCACGCTACCCTCAAGGAAGGCATTCTCGTGAACCAAGATTCGTGTTTCATCTTCAGATAGTATGAGTCTCTTGGTGCTGGGGCAATAAGAGCTTCTTCTAGTACTTTCAAGGCACTGGTAGGCAGTACCTTCGCGCTATATTCTGCAGCTTCACCAGGCATCGTCACTGCACAGCTTGCTGAACTTGAGCTAACATCTGAGCTCGGGGTTTCTGGTCGACTGAAACACAACGATTTGTTATTGTAGACTTTAATACATTCGGTTATCTCTGGAGAAAATTTTAGTAATAGTACTACACATGGTGGACAGGCTTGTTTACTTTGTCTCCAACTTGCATAAATTGCTGTACAATTTATATCTGGAGAACTATAATTCCAAATTAATTATATAAGAATTCTATCATCAAATGCTTTCCGTTTGAAAAGTCTTATAACAATTTTAGTAAGTGGTATTAGCCCATGATTGGAAGTACATGCATTTGACTAACCTTGCCGGTTGGCTCGGCGTGACCAATTGTGCGGGCGGCGCGTATATCTCAGCAGCGGACAGGTCCGGCGCATGTAGCAGAACTACGTGTAACCTGCGTGCGCGCAAACTCGCACGCAGAGCTCGTGCTGCTCCCCATGTGCCCCAACGTGCAGCTGCTGCGCCGGCGCTTGCCTCCCCAGAATCTCCCACCTCTGGCCGTGACAGGCTTTCACATGCGGTGTCTGATGTTAATCCTGAATAAAAAGCCAATGTGTGACACCGATGCTTTTCCAAACAGTTACAAATAAGTACTTATATCTCTTCTTGAAAGTGTCAAACATCACAACCTTTATCTGCCATTATACTACATTTTAGGTGGTCAAGAAAAAGTAACCCAGTTTTAGAGAAAAAAATAGAAAACAGCTAGTATTAACTTACCGATGTAGAAGAGCCGTCCAGCGTGTGGATGGTCTGCTGCAGCGGCTGCGAGTAGAGGTGAGAACGTTCGCGCTACACGCAGCGCTCCGAGGACATTGCCGCGCAATGCACTCTCCCAGCACGTCGCACCGCCGCGCCCGCTGCAGCCGGCAGTGTTGATCACTGCCCAAATGCCTAACAACAAATAAACAATAATAAAAATAGTTGATCATTAGCCTTTTTACGTCTTTTCATATGGATAGTTTTTAAATTAAATAGAACTGTTATAAAAGAATCTATATAGACGAAAATGAATCGCCGCAATGTATGCACGCGCATAACTTCTAAACGACTGCACCAAATTGGATGATTATTTTTTTGTGTATTCAGACAGACAGAAGCGGCGGCGCGGGACTTTGTTTCATAATATGTAGTGATAATAAATAATAAAAACATTTCACAAAAAATTTAACCGACTATAATAGCGTTTTTTGGATAAGTTTTAAAGTTGAAGCCGTTTATTGATAAAGTTTTTATTTCATGCTTTTTATTGATATTGATATTTTTATATATTGTATCACTAAAATATGAAATATCTATATAAAATAAATTATAATAATACTACATCGTAAGAACTTTTCGCTTTGCTATACTAGATGGCGTTTATTCCGAACTAAACTGCGTTGTCATTCTGTTTAAAGAATTATGCGTAGATTTCATAATTGGTCGAGTAAACGCGTAACAAACACGCACAAAAACTTACAGTCAAATTTCCATAATTTTATTAGTCGAATAAAAAAAAATTTTGAAAATCGGTCAACAATTGGCGGAAATAACGGTGTAGATACATCATAAAAACAGATCGCCGTCGAACATATAACCTTTTCGATTTTGAAGTCGTTAGTAATACAGGACCACGCAGACGAAGCCGCTGGCGGGAAGTTAGTTAAAAATAAAACGATTAACTGACAAAAAATTTAAAGAATAACATCATAGGTAAGGTAATTGGTAACAAAAGGCAGCGTAAAGATGATGTGAGAGAGAGATGAACAGATGATGTGAGAGATGTGAAGAGACCGCCTCTTTCAAAAATTACAAGTTCCAAGTACACTGAGATGATATTCGAACCTACAACCATTCGCTATCTAAGCGACTGCTCTAACCAATGAGCTATCTAAGATTCAACAGGTTGTCCTTCTTCACTGAAGACACGCTTTTAAAAGACGCCATATTCATTTGATCGTACGTTTCGTGACCCAGAGATCTTGAATAGTCTAATGAAACTAGAGAATCCATTGCTACATTTTACATTAAATGCATTGTAGACCAAGTTATATATCTACATGGAAATATCGGGAACTTGCAAGTTCAAAATAGTTTGGAAAATACTATCAAAAGCATTATAAAATAAAGATAATTACTTAGAGCAAGAGATTTATTTCTACGTTCTATCTTCTTTTATTTCGCAAAATATACTTAATCTGCTCAAGCTTAAATCGTTGCTTTGTTTAAAGAATAAAATAGGAAAATTAAAATAAATTCTTGAATAATATTAATTTACCAAAAATGGGAATAAATTGTTTGGGAATTGGGAACATTATTCTTTAATTTAACTTTTGCACGCCATCTAGTCACGACTAAAAACCATCCGGTGTTAATAAAGTCCGTGCAATACTAAAGTAGTATTTCGTACAGGTCATTAATGATCCTTCTATCTTCTGGCAGATGGCGCTGCCTACATAACAATTTGAAGAGAATTCAAATTATTTTTATTTATACTGCTGATAGTTATACATGAAATATTTTCCAGTATAATGGTTGATTTCTAATTTATAATAATAATGATGATGGCAAAAGATTTTTCTTATACTGTATGTAAAATTCACCAAATGATAATACGCACTGCTGGTGTAGTGGTATCATGCAAGATTCCCATTCTTGCGACCCGGGTTCGATTCCCGGGCAGTGCACTTTTTTTCCACGTTTTATTGGTGATAATATTTAATTGTTGTTATTTATAACCATCTTCAAGATCAAAAAGGGTTCTATCTACGGTCATGTAGGTTTTTGTATGTTCACCAATTTGCAGACCAATTTTCAAAATTCTTTATTAATAACAGTTTAAAGGCCCTGGTCTCATACGGATTTTATTTGAAATCGAATTAGTGCTTCTTATAAAAACAAAACTAAATAAGCTTTTTATTAAATACCATCAAATTACTTAGTTATACGTTATACGAAGAAATCGAAGTACCACATCTGGTTCATGAAGTTCATCCTTGACAATTTCGACTCTGATTGAATTATATCAATCAAACTTTTTTATAGTTTGTAAGTATTTAACATTAGAATTTCATTTGAAAATTGAGGCAACTGATATTCCTTTGGTTATGTTTTATTTAACCCCTATCCAAAGAAGTTAACTTCCTGTGGTTCCCATGGGCTTTTAATTCAGTCCAATGACTCAATTATTTACCACTAACCATGTTCTCCAGCAGGTAAATGTTGTGCTGTAGCTCTCGCAGCTTCTTCCAAAAGATCTTCTCTGGCTACGTCTAGTTCTAGAGTGGCTAGCCTGGGTGGCGGCTGGTCTTCAGGCGTGGCCGCTGCGTGAGCTTGAAGCCAAGACTCAGCCAATCTTGATCCCAGGCCTCCTTGTCGGCATCCAGCAATGACACGCCACCCTTTACCACTGAGGTACGTTGCAATCTGGTAAATATATATAAGAAACACTAAAGTTTTATTTAACTCAGAACATCAAACCACATTGAAAACGCTCAATGGAGATTTGATACTTAATGTCTCTTAGGCGTAGAGTTATTGATATTCTTAACTTTTACAAGAAATGTGTTTCCAATTTGTCATATTTAAGGAAAAGTGATATCCATGGCGTTTTTTTGGTGTCAAATTAATTCAATTTTGCACAAACAATGGAAATAAAGATGTAATCCTGCATTGTGTGCTTGGCAAGAGTTATTGGCGGGTGTACTCGCTCGACGGACAGATCAAAAGATTAGACTAGTTTTGGTGTATTTTATTTTGAATTAACTTTTGGTTTGCAAATTCATAGTATCATTACCGAACGTCTCAAAACAATAATGATATCAAACCATAAACTTAGATCATAATTATATGTGATCGGGTCTTGTTCGTGCATTTTTTTACCGATTACCCTCACGACTCAACTAAAATCAGAAGACGACACCCGCCAGTTCTCCAGTCTCCTCGTGACCACGGCTGCTGTAACGTAACCGAAACGTCGAGCTAAATTAATAGTTTAAAAAAAATGCACGTACAAGACCCGATTACATATAATTATAATGTATACAAATCGTGTGAGTTTAAAAATATTATAAATTTAGATTATATAATATTCATTTTCCATTGAAAAATCCTGGTAATGGACATTCTAATCCTGCATGTTTAAGAAAAAATTATGAAAATATTATAAATTACACAATAACATTTTTTTTCTAAATTTTAATTAAGAATACGATTGGGTTGTGAAAATATAACAAATTAGCAATTCTCGTAGTATGGGTTTTAACTTTTAAGTAGAGTAGAGAGTATAAAGTTTATCTAGAAAAGTTTACCACCTGTGTGAAGATTGGTCTGGTAGCTACTATATTCTAAAAGTATGAGTAGGTTATAATAAAGGTGAAAGTTTTTCGGTATTAATTATATTATGTATGTGGAAAGTAGCGTCAATTCTAATATCATTACTTATTATATTATTAAGAGATTAATATTAGATTATATTTAACGCCGTTACTTTTTATGATATAATTGCATCTCATATCAATTTCCAGTAATTAGATTTAATACATACTCCATGTAATTTGATAACATTTTCGTGTAAAATCGTAATAGTTCTTAAAACAAAATGAGATTAAGCGGGCATTTGTCTTAAGCCGGTGTGAAAAAGCCACATTCAAATACTTATAAGGTTTCTTATCCATTCACGAAAAAGGTTTGATATTGAAGACGGCGTTTGATCTAAGATGTCTAAGGACTAATACGAAATTAATTGTGAACAAAACAATCTCCAAATAAACTGTAATAAACAAATGAGAAAACTACAAGTAAAGCTTGCGAAACATTATTTTAAAATATATTTGATGATAGAATATAGATAATTTACCTCTAAAATTGATAATTATTTAGTACTTTTTCTTGTTACTGCATTAATTTTCTATAGTTAAAATTTATAAGTACATATTATTTTTGAATTATTTTGAAACCAGAGTTCGGCACGAGTCATTTTAAAATGAGATTTTGCGAGTTTTTCGTTTCATTGTTCAATTCACACAAATTATTATCTTCTGTCTCTATCTTGTTAGCCAGAATTCTGTGTTTCTTTATTTTATCATGAGCTATATGAGCATTTTATGGATATTCAGTTTCCTTTTTAGAATACTAATGCAGTTAACTTGTATTTTATCCTTAATTCAGAGAAGAGGGGGTAGCCTGTTCTTTGTCTATCTGTTAGTAGTGATAATTTAGATATGATTTAATCGATTTATCTTAATTTAAAAGTTCCGCCAGCAATTCATGTTGTACAACCCTAAAAATAGATACAGTTGATCAAAACTACAAAAAAAGACATTTACCGTGGTTTTTGAATGTTACAATTTAAGTATTATATTTATTGATAAAATTTTACTGTGGCATTTGGGTGTTATGCAATGTGATTGAGATCTTGTTACAAATCATACACTATCACAAAAGATTTGCTTGTAAACTTTTATGTAGTACATATGCGTATTTTAACAATATAAAATAGTATAAGTTACTAAAACCGTTACGATTGATAGTACCTAAAGGGAAGGAATTGTCGTTTAAAATAATATATACTGTCTTAACAGCGATAACTACTTCCTGCTTTTTCCTACTCTTTTACTATTGCATAGCATTATTAATCGTAGAGTGTTGCATGTTGCAAAACCTGCTTACTTTCATAGCTATTAGGAATAACCAAACACTTACTTTGTTGCATTTCTTGAAGTGAGACAAAGTTTGATACTTCTTTAACAGAATCAGGTATCTTCCACATGCAGTTAGTAGCTGTAACATATTTGTATTCCTATTCCAATATCACTCTTGAGATTCCTCGCGACTCTACAGATTTTGTTTCTTAATCCTTCTATGTGCATGTTATGCGTCTTTGGAACGTTGACTCAATCAAGTTTTGCTAGGCGTTTTGCAATCAAGTCAAAAGTAATTTCCTGTCTCTCAATTTGAATCTGTCTTAGTATATATTCGTCTAAAGTCGAATCCGAAACTAATTTATTAATCCTTCCTAATAATGCACCCACCCTTCACATTATCCATATCTTTATTTTTCTCACCATAGGTTGTTTGGAAGAGATTGCTGCTTTGTGTTTTTTATTTCATCTTAGGTATTAATTTTGCCGAAAGCTGTGTTGTATTAGGTGCAATAAAGTGTATTGTTATTATTTGTGCACCGTTCGTCCTCCCGCTAAAGGAGAACTGAATCCAACCGAAGCCGAAACTGACCTAGTCATTTCAATCATGAAACTAAACTAGTTTCAACACCCCTGATAAAGTTATATATTTATTTATTTAAAATGTTCTCCTACCTGTAATCCTAGAGCAGTATCCACAGATGTTACGAGGACTGTCTTCGCACTGTCCACCGGGAGTACTTCTGCCACCCTGACCTTCCGCAACAGGTACAGCAGTAGAGCACCCACGATAGAGCACAGTGCTGCCAACTGCAACCCCAATGAAAGCCACGTCAGGGGATCCATGGCTCACTTATAGCGCGAACATATTCCAGACAAACTGAAACAAAAGGAAAAAATATATAATTACTATTACTTATCTAGAGAAAAATAATAATTAAACCTCATGTATCAGATGATTAAAATATACACTAGTTAATGAATTAAAAGTAACTAAACCTTTAACTTATTTTTCAATACATTTCACAATTTTCATAACAGTGGTTCTAAAGTTTTTGTTCCCTTAAAATATTTCCAATAGAAAATATTCAAAAAATAAAATATATAAAATGGCAAAAGTACAATGAAAACTTGGAAATAAAAAATACATTAAGAATAAAAAACATTTATATCGTATTTTTTCCTATTCTTAGGAATAGGTTTACTTACCCAATGCTTACCAATTGCATAGCATTATTATTAATGGAATCCATTCATTAATATAGTATAGTATAGTAAAATGAAAGTACAACTCAAACATTTTAATGTTTGTCCTGGATAGGATGGATCGTTTTATGTTAATAAATAAGACTGTATATAAATTCCGAATTCAAATTACTAACTGTATTTATCAAATCGAAAACAAGGCCGGGTACCAATAAGATCCGTTGCGGACGCGGTTAGGTAAACAATCGTTACAATGGACGACCGCCGGGCGTAACACCGTCGACGGAACATGGAGGTGCGGCTCATTGTTTAAAGTTTTATTGATGGTGTCACGCTCATACCTTGAGAACGAGGCGTTTTAGATAAATTGTTGACGTGTTTAATATATTCCTTGCATGATATAGCAACCGCTTTCTTATGTGATCCGCTAATCATCCTTAAATTCATTAAGTGGAATCCTTAAATTCATTAAGATTTTTTAACACATTATTAAACGGCTTCATGGAGGCTCGATTTTTCTTCTATGTATGTTTCAGGATATCTTCGTCAGTAGTGAACTGATTTTGATGATTCTCTTTTTGTTTATTATATGTTATTTATATGTTAACTGATTCAAAACATAAATTCAGGTATTTTACAAACGTTTGTGTTAAGTTTATCAATAATGATTTTGTTATATTTTCTGGGTAAATTAATAAGCTTATGAATAACTGCTAAATTATATCAAAAATTACCTATATGTAAATTAAATAAGCCTTTATTTTCTAAAAAAATACCATTAATGAAATTTCAAAAATGTTTTTATCAATTACCAACTTTATAAAAAAGATAGATCACCACGGTAAAATATTTCATCAATAATAATTACGATAAACAACAAGTTTGTATCAATAAACGACGTTTAAAAAGTTCCAACAATCAATTTACCGTCGATAATGATAATGTCATTAACGAGATCGATTTACTGAATAAAAACTTACAACAGATGCTATAAGTAACAATTAGCGTTAATGATAGCAAGAAGTCATTCTAGTTACAGTTGACACGGATCGGATAGGCACGTTCTCCGATAAAAAAACGTGGGAGCCACATTGTTTAATAATGTGATGACGGTAAGATCACGGCCGGTGGCGGGATGCATGTCAATTCGAGGTTCAAGGTAATCTAGCCGGTTGTGTTTTTAATTTTGATACCGATACTTCCTGAAATAATGTTTTTATGATTATTTGGTCTTCTTTCCAATGAATAAAGGAATTTTATTTTAACTGGCAGCACTAATTGTCGATTTCATTTGTTGTTTCAGTTTCAGATTTCAGTTGGTTGTCACATTGCCATTTCTGACTTCGCGACTCTCGACTGCTGGCGGGTTGTCGTTATTTCTTAGTCTGTGATTTTTGTAAAACTATTGCAATATATGAACTGAATAGTTAAATATGTCTTTCAATACATATACGAGAATAAAGGAAGTTTTTTTAATCAGATGCGTAATATTTTTATGTTCATATAATTCATCAACTTCAGTGATATGGATTTTTAAGAGTTGACCAATTTTGACTGTTTTCCGTAAGTCAATAAAACCGTATACTACTACAAAACTTCAGTGTAGAAAAGCTAACGACACGTTTTGAGTATGGTGGTCACATTAATAAACTGGTGATAGTGAAATATTGAATAGATCGATGAGTTTCATAATAAACCGTATAATAACGAGCATCTAAGAATACAGCTTACGGTATTCTTAGACATATCTACTTGATGTAAATGTTGCGTAAATAGGCGAGTGTTGCCAGGTTATAAAACATTTTAGGCGTAGCTTACATGCATATCAAACGAAATTAAATTTTTTTTAGAGGTCTTTGACGTCATAAAACCGAAAATTCAAATCAAAACGAGTGCAAAACGAATTTGTATCGATTAGAAAAAAGAAAGGATTTTCATCAATTCTACCCCCAAGGAGATAAAATAGGGGATGAAACTTTGTCAATTTTATACCGATCGGGCTCAGACTTTGCATGCATAAAGCTACATAGGCATCCCCTAAGAAAGGACTTTGATAAATGAAACTTTATTTCAGCTATTTCACACGATATCATGAATAAATATTCGTTAGAAATGTTGCTCAAAGTTACCACGCGGACGAAGTCGTGGGCAAAAGCTAGTCTATTTATAAAAATCAACTGCTGTTCGTATGTCTCATTAAAATTCGAGGACGGCTGGGCCAATTTAGCTGATTTTTGTTTGGAAATGTTTGTCGTTTAAAAGGTGAGGTTTAAAAGGTTAGAGGTGATACTAAGTACACCGGGTCATCTAGTAAACATATTTATCAGTAAAGCTTTGTGATTGCAAAATTGAACAAATACGATAGTTACATTACACAAACGTGAACCTACAGTGAGCACATGTCCTTATGGAAACTCATCTATAATTAGAAGCGTTGTGTTCCTTTTGCGAGTTTTCGCAATGTGAGCTGCTCGCATGACGGAATCGCAAGCGATGTTTAAACATCTATTTTAGGATTAATTTACTGTTCTTCGATTTCAAAATGCACTCATTGCTTTAGAATAGGCATTCACAGTTTCACGCACTGGACATTTTATTACATTTATAGATCCATGACTTCATATGAAACATAGTAATCTATATAAACATTCTTATGGCTCTTCTATATGTATCTAATTAAAGAAGCATGCTGTTGTTAATACTAATTATTCCATAATATGAATGATATCTTCTATTGTCTTATGTTTTGTATTCAAATCTAAATATGGACATACCTATTTTTTGCATACTTGAGCATTGTTAATGATGGTAAAGATACATATTTAAATGTTGTTCGTTGAAAAAAACACATAAATTCTACTAAAGTTCTTGGAATTATAATTTAGTTTATGGATATCTGTAGCTTAGTTTATAAGTTTATTTATCGTACAGCTGCACGGCTGGCTACCACAATATGGTAAAGTTTCGCAATCGATTATATACTCTGGTGGAAAGCTAGTCTATACTAATATTATAATTGTGAAAGATTTAATTGTTTGTTTGTATGTTTGCATTGAATAGGTTTCGAAAATACTAGACCGATTTTAAAAATTCTTTCACCTTCGAGAAGCTACATCATATGAGGTACACAGATTATATTTTATCCCGCAAAATAGCAAATAAAGGGATGAAAAAGGAAATGGAAGTTTGTATGGTGAATTAAAGTTACCATAGTAACCATCTTTTACTATTCAATTTGTCATTGTTATTATATCCGTGTCATGATATGAAAACATATCCAAATGAATTAAATTCTAAGTCTGGATTATTATATGGACTACTTTTTATCCCACTAAACAGTTTCCTAGGAACCATGCGGGCGAAGCCGCTAGCGGAAAGCTAGTAAGTAATAAACATTAACTTTATAAACTTATAGGAATACCATATTTCATTAAAATCCTTTCAGTAATTTTTGCATGGAAGAGTAACAAATAAGAATACATAAGACTTTGTCAGCCGGACCAAAAGTGTACAAGAATTTGTATTTTTTTTTCGAAATGAAAAAAAGAATAATTATCTTTATTTTTGCAACGGAGATTGGTGATTTTAGACAATATGGGAAAATTTCTGTTTCTTGTGATTCAATATATGCCATTATGTGTGGAGCATTGTTATGGAGACAATACTATAAACGATCAAAGATTGTCTGTTAGTGTGATGGGTGTTGTTTTTTAGCCTGGTGATTTTTCCCACAGTAAATTTTAATCAAGAAATATTAGCGTGACCTGACCATATTTCCTTCTCTTTAAGTTAGTCCCTCAGTCTTGAGGATTGTAACTTCGATGGACGCGTTGCAGCAGACTTCTCCATTTGCTGCGATGTTCTGCTCGTGATCGGTGTTTTTTAATAATTCCGACACTTGATCAGACCATCGTCCAGGTCTACGTCCACTTGGTCGTTGGCTATCCACTTTGGTTTATTATGAGCTTTCCTAAGTTGTATGTATCTCGGCGTGTTACATGACTAAAATACTGTATTTATTTATCATATAAATTTTCCATAACGATTGTGTCGAGTTGTAAATAATATTATTTATAGTTTATTTTTACAAGCATTTTTAATTTCAAATATCTTACTACCACGGTATAATACAGCCTGGTGACAGACGGACTGACAAACAGACAGATGGACGGAAAACTGAACCAGAAAATCGGACAATGATACAAAATATTATGTGATCGTAAACTATACGTCATTATCAGTTTTTACCTGACAGACTGTAATACTCTCTTCCTGTGCCTCTTCTATATAAATAAATACTTTATGATTTTTATTATTATATATGCATGTATTTATTTTATCATAATTATAAGATATTGATACGCAGCCTGCGCAGTGCCCACGCGTCGTCACCTCATGCGCACACGCATACCAAATAGCAATGCGTTGTGTATGTATACGTACTGTTTCACAACTGTAAGTACAAACGGCAATAAAAATTATCTTGGTTAATATATTAGCAATATCTATATAAATTATTCTTATATTAACTCAATTCTTGGGGTCGACGAAAAATACTGACTGTGACCCAAAATGTTACGTGAGCGTTGTAAGTAAAAAATACATATCGCTGCCCATATAAATCTGTATAGTTTTCGCCA